CACACTCTATGTTGACCAAGGCCTACCCCCATAGGACAGAATGTAGCTAAACCATATGCCTAGCCAAGGCCCAATTCTTGCATTTCAATAATGATGTACGAATTGTATAATTTTTTCATGTTGACAAGAATTTAGCCGTCTCATATTGGGCCAGAATGGTATTTCGTAGTTATTCATGTCATTCTTTTGCGGTATACCTGACAAACTGACAAATTGAGAGATGTAACTGCAATAACACCAATTTATATGTCTATTGATTTTTTTTTTTTTTTGGAAAAGTGTGTACGGATATAGGTCAAGTTTTTGTCCGATTTACAAAGAAATATTTTAGTTATTTTTAACAGATCAGTTACTACTAAGTTGGATCGGATGTCAAATATATTAATACAATAATTTATATGAAATAAATATATTAGATTAGGCCGGCAATATATATTCTACTCACACCGACGACATAATAAAATTCAGAACTTGATATCGGACTTGATATCGGACCAAAAGTCCGTGAGACTAACCCTCTGTTTGGTAGGATGTAAATATAGTGGATGGAAAAGAGTGGATGAAAAATGGGAGAAAAGGAAAAACTTTCCCTTATTTAGTATAAAAAGAAAATAAGGTGGAACGGAAAAAGGAGAAAAAAATAATCCACTCCACCCGCCAACAAAAATCCGCCCACATTTGGGCGGAAAGTGGAGGGAGAAATGGAGACCTTGAGTGCTGTTGGGTCAATTTACTAATATGCCCTTTAAAGCTTATATATCCATCCATGTGTTTTAGGAGTAAATATTGAATATTTTCTCGTGTTTTAGGCTGGTACTATGAAAAAAAACTAACCACGTGTAGACATTGTGGTGACTACCAGTAGGTTAATTGTTCACTTTTGTGAGCTTTTACGATGCACATCTTTTTCTTTTTTTTTCCCATTTTTCATACATTTAATATATTTATATCACATGATTTGACGCAATAGAAATGATTTTATATTTTTCGAATGTATTAATATTTTTTTTTCAATCTTCTTATTTTTCATTCTTCCTACCAAATTAAAAAGAAAGAAAATAGTTTTTTTTTGTCGCTCATGAATGAAAAATTATTTTAACTTTTCTTTCATTCTTCATGCCAAACAAACTTATAATGTCGATAATTATCACTCTTATATATTAGACAATTTTTTAGTATATACCTCACCAATTAATTTCGATAAATTTCTCAAATACACAAGCATTATATTTTAACCCAGGTATTTAGTTGATTCCACAAAAAAAGTGGACGAAAAATTTTATATATATATATATTTGTATATATTTATTATTTTTTATAGTGAAATGGAGAGTTTTTAACATTTTAAAATCTTGAAAAGTCTATGAGCAATAAAAAAAAAATTATTAGTGAAGGTATAATGGTAAATAAAATTTACATGTGTTTTTATTCTTTTCATTTTTTCTCCCATATCAAACAATGAAAATTTAATTCATCTGACTTTTCATCTATCTTACCAAACAAAAAAAAGAAAAAAGTTTTCCTTCCTCTATAAATAAAAAGTCTATTCCTCGTATATTTTCATCCTCACAATTTTTTATCCCTACTACCAGACAGATCATAAGTTCAAATTTCACGCCTAAACTTCCTAATCTTGGGTGATGGCACATCCCTATCCCTGTCCTTTAGTAGGGAAGTTGCCATGGATTTTTGTCAGGGTTTTTAGGAAAATAATTATTCTCTCATTTTCATTTTTTACATTGAATTTTTTTTATTTTGAGGTTTTTATCGTGTCAACAAAAAAAAAAAAAAGCCACGTGTTTCTTAAATATTTTTCTTTGCTTTTGATATCGTTGCACACAAAAATGCTGTGATTGATACAGCAACTATCAAATATTATCTGTTGAATTTATTTTTGAATGGAATTACTCAAAAAAGAAAATAAAATTATAGTCACTAGGTGTGTTTGGTAGGATGGAAGAAAAAAAATAGAAGAATGGAAAGTGGGCGTGTGATACACTTTATATCCTTTAAGAGAGAGATTATTCCTTCTTTTTTTTTTGTATTTGATAGAAATGATGGAAAGTAAGAGGAATAGAAAGAAAGGAAGATTTATTTTTTTATGTTTAGTAGGATGGAAAAGTAGAAGGATGGGAAAATATAAATTCATATTTTATTATTATATTTATATATGAAATTAATGTATACATAATATATAATTGATAAATAAAATATATGTATATGTCAAATGATATATAGATAAATAGTATATATTTTAACACACAAAATTAATTTTTCATCTATTTTTTCTTCTAATTTTAGAGTGATTGATTTTGGTGAGTTAAAAAGAAAACTAATTTATCTATTTTTTCATATTTCCTATTTTTCTCATTTATCAAATATCATGTTTTTATCTATTCTTCAAACTGTTCATCATTCAAACTTTTTAACCTTTCATTTTTTTTTATCATACCAAATGAAACATAACTATCAATTGGTTTTACAATTATCAATGGTTTATTATTTGGGTGGGTGGGGGGGGGGGGGGGGGTTGTATTTTCAAGTTGCCACCTTCTTTAATAGATATACGTTCAACAATACAAGCTAATGTTGTTTAACTTTCATTGATGTTTGGATGGTAAGATTTGAGTGGATTTGATATCTAAAAAAATATTATTTCTTATCCGATCCAAATTCATCCTGAGTTGAAGTGGATTGAATATAAATAAGTATCTCCAATTATTTCCACTTTTTGGATAGATCATAGCACTTATGTGGAGTCCATGGATAAGGGTGATGTAATATATTATCATTGACTATTATGTCCCTGTTGTATCAAATACACTATCATATTTGGCTTATAAATTAACTTTTATTTCATTTCAAACAAAAAAAAAATACACTTTTATATCAATTATTTTTACAGCTCATTAAAATATAAAAAAAAAATTCCAAATATATTGTAATCATAAACACCATATATTAATAGATAAATATGAGTGTTCAAATGTTAGGATCACAAACTAAAATGAATGTGCACATACATATGTGTAGAAGTTTTAAACTGAATGTATAGTTAGAGTTCGTAAGTCTGGTTCGAATTAATACCAGATGATGTGTGTTATTGAGTATATGTAATATTTACAACAGTGGAAAGAATCAAAATTCATAACAAACTAAATTACATCTTATCAGAATATCATAGGATGCTCTCAGTAGTTATCCATGTAGTGGCTATTGGTTTGTTCAGTGGAGTGGATAATGTTGGACTCTTTTGTATTTTGAATTGGTTGGTTAACTGCCCCCTTCAAGCTGATGGTGAGAGGTCGAACCATTAGCTTGTCTTTAAGCATACTGAACCTGCTCTTGGACAGTTCCTTTGTGAAAATATCTGATGGTTGGGAAGTGGTTCAAGTATAACGAGCAAGAATGTCCCTGTTAAAAATTTTCTCCCGAATAAAATGGTAATCCACCTCTATGTGTTTGGTCCTTGCATGAAACACAGGGTTAGAGGATAATGAAAGTGCTCCAATGTTGTCAACCCATAAGCAAGAAGGTGAATGAAGAGGAAAACCAAGTTCCTTAAACAGCATTCGAATCCAATATAACTTAGTAACAGTGAGGGTCATTGATCGATACTCCGCTTCAGTGCTTGATCTAGCAATAACAGGTTGCTTCTTTGCCATCCAAGAAATTAAGCATGGACCTAGAAAAATACAATAGCCCGTAGTAGATTTGCGATCATCAGGGCTACCAGCCCAATCTGAGTCACAAAAACCATGTAAAGATAAGGACCCTTTGCTGTAATGAAGTCCATGTTCAATGGTTCCTTTTAAATATCGTAGCACTCTCTTTGCTTCCATGAGATGGACTGTAGTTGGGCAATGAAGAAACTGACATAGTTGATTAACATTGTAGGCAATATCAGGCCGAGTCAATGTACAATATTGGAGAGCTCCCACAATATGTCTGTAAGTAGATGGATCCAAAACCAAAAGGGGTTCACCAATGTGCTTGGACAATTTTTCACCAGAGGTGCAAGGAGTTGATACTGGTTTAGCTCCTATCATTGTAGTGTCATGCAACAAGTCTAAAATATATTTACCTTGATGAAGATGAAGGGAATCAGAGGTTCGAGAGACCTGAATGCCAAGAAAGTATGATAAAGCCCCCAAGTTCTTGACTGCAAAGTCTTGGCTGAGTTGTTGGAGAAGAATAGCAACTGCATTAGAGGAATTACTCACCACCAATATATCATCAACATATATTAAAATAAGAATAGTGACAGTAGATCGATGGAGATAAAACAAAGAAGTATCAACAGATGATCCAATAAATCCAAGTTCCAAGAGACTTTGAGATAGTCTCCTAAACCAAGCTCTTGGGGCTAGTTTCAACCCATAGAGAGACTTGTGAAGTCGACAGACATATGAGGGAAAATTTTTGTCTTCAAACCCTGTAGGTTGCTCCATAAATACTTCTTCCTCAAGATGACCATGCAAGAATGCATTAGATATGTCCAATTGTTGTATAACCCAATTGTGGTGGATTGCCAAAGCAAGCACAAGTCTAATAGTGGCAGGTTTTATGACTGGACTAAATGTGTCATGGAAATCAATGCCATGTTCTTGCTCAAAGCCTTTGGCTACAAGCCTTGCTTTGTACTTGTCAATGGTGTCATCTACCCTTTGTTTGAGTTTAAAGACCCATTTATTTTGAATTACATGCTTATCAGAGGGTTTGAGAGATAAAGTCCAAGTTTTATTGGCAATGAAAACATCAAACTCAAGTTGCATGGCTGCTTGCCAATTGGGATCTTTAGATGCTTGGTTATAGGTTCGTGGTTCAGATGGAAGCATAATTGAGGAGAGGGCTTGAATTGGATGTTTTGTGGAGGTATAGAGGTGATAATCAGGAAATTGTTTGGATTTGAGAGAATTGGTTTGAGATCTGGTGACTAGGAATTGGACATAAGTAAGGGTGAATGTGGGGTTGAAAGATCTTGTGTTTGAGCATTGCCAATGGAAGACATATCTGCACGAGCTGTATCAACAGGGTTAGAGAAAACAGGAGTGTTTGTAGGTGAGATAGAGGGAGACATACCTGTTGTGACTGGAGCAGCAGTATCCAATGGAATATCCTCCAAGATGTGAGTAGTAGCAGGGAAAATAGGTGTGGGAATGGAATTGGTGATGAATGAGGATGTACTGGCAGGAGGTGTTGAATTGGAAATAGAGTTTGCAGCAGGAAAAGTATTTTCATCAAATACTACATGACGAGAGATGTAGACGTGACCAGGTTGAACATCATAGCACCGATATCCTTTCTGATTAGCAGCATAGCCAAAAAAAGATACACTTTTTGCTTCTATATGACAATTTATGAGCAGAGTAAGGTCTTAGAAGAGGGTAACAAGCACAACCAAATGTCTTGAGAAGGGTGTAGTCTGGCTGTTTATGAAATAAGAGAAAATAACGTGAGTGATTATCAAAAACAGTTGCTGGCATTCTGTTGATAAGGTAAGTGGTTGTAAGAAAAGCATCTACCCAATGTTCAGGTGGAAGATGTGATTGAGCTAGAAGTGTAAGGCCTGTTTCTGTTATATGTCGATGCTTTCTTTCAGAAATGTCATTTTGCTCAGAGGTTTTAGGGCATGTCAGCCTATGCAAAATGCCATTTTATGTTAGAAAAGTTTTAAATGAGTTGGGAATATATTCTCCTCCATTATCTGTTTGAAGCTGGTTAATTTTGGAGGAGAATAGATTCTCAACAAGACATTTAAATTTAATGAAGCATAAGACAACATCTGACTTTTGCTTTAAAGGAAACATCCATGAGAATCGAGAGTAATCATCAATGAATATAACATAAAATTTACAGCCACTTATTGAAAGAACTGAAGAAGTTCAGACATCAGAATGATTAAGTTCGAAGGGATGACTTGACTGAAGAATTGAAGTAGGAAAGGGAAGTTTATGACTTTTAGCCATTTGACAAAATTCACAAACTTGTTTTAACTTGTGAGACCCAGAAACTGAAATAAGAGCATCACGGTGGAGATGTTGCAGAATTAAGGTGGATGGATGACCCAATCTCGCATGCCTAGTCTGGACAGGAGCTGTGAATCCTAGGAAAGCAGTAAATGAAGAGTTGGTGGTGGATCTTTGCTGCCACTTATTTGATTGGAAATGAACTGGATTGAGGCCTGCTCTACTTGGACCTTGGAGGAGTATTCTGTTGGTCTGCAGATCCTTCACAACAAAATATGAAGCAGTTAGCACAAAATAACAATTATTATCTTGACAAAGTTGTTGGATTGAAAGGAGAGTAGAAGAGGCCTGAGGACAGTGTAAAATATTAGATAAAAGCAAGGAACTATTTTTTGTTTGAAGAATAGAGGAACCAGTGTTACTTGTGATCAAACCTCCCCCATTTCCAACGGTCACTTGAGTTGGACCTTGGCACCACTATCCAGGAACCAAGGTTGATCATCTTCTGGTGTGACATGTGTATGAGCAGCCATGGCAGCCAGTTGTGCAGGAGGGGTGTCTTCCTTGGCAGGAGTAGTCCATCCTATGGTAACAATCAAGAGCTTGATGGCTTGTCTTGCCACAAATCTGACAAGGAGGTTTGGAGATTTGAAAGAATGGATTAGAGGTTGAATTCTGATTTTTGCCAGGAGAACTGAGGTTATTAGGAGGCCTGGAACCAGAGGGTTTATTGGAGGAGAATGGTTTGTTGGATCTTTTGTGGTGGTACTTGGGTTTGGTTTTCTGAGTGAAGAAGGCTATGTTGGTATTATCTGGTGGTATTGCTTTGTGTTGGGTTTCTAGCAATTGCTCATAGTTGAGCAACTCGGTTTGAAAATCAGCAAAGGTAATAGAGGATTCTTGAATGGCAAAGTTAAGAGAGGTGATAAATGGATGATATGAGGGATTTAGGCCTCCAACAACATATGAGATCAAATCTTCATCATCAACAGATTTTTCTACAGCTGCAAGTTGATCAGACCAGTTTTTGGTGTCAAGATGATAGTCAGTGCATGACTTGGATCCTTGGTGGAGAGTTTGCAGTTGTCTTTTGAGATGGGAAATTCTGGATCGAGAATTTGGGGCAAATCTGTTAGATAGAGTAGTCCATACCTGTCGAGAAGTTGTTTGTCCATAAACAGTAGACAAAACCTTTTCTGTGAGAGTGGCATTTATCCATGCCAAAATGAATTGGTCCTTTTTCTGCCATAGCATATAATCAGGAGCAATGGTAGTGGTAAGTTTGCCTTTGGCATCAGTGACAAACTTAGAAGGACATGGCTCGGAGCCATCTACAATGCCAATGAGATCATGACTTTGTAGAAGAGGAAGGAATTGGGTGATCCAATTCAGATAATTGGTTCCGTCAAGCCTGACAGAAACCAAGGGAGTGATGTTGGGAAAGATAAAAGCAGCAGGATCTCTAGGTAGGGCCATTGGGGATCGATAGAAAGAGGTGTTAGTCTAGTTGTGGCTCTGATACCAAGTTAGAGTTTGTAAGTCTGGTTCGAATTAATACCAGATGATGTGTGTTATTGAGTATATATAATATTTGCAACAATAGAAAGAATCAAAATTCATAACAAACTAGATTACATCTTATCAAAATATCATAGGATGCTCTCTGTAGTTATCCATGTAGTGGCTATTGGTTTGTTCAGTGGAGTGGATAATGTTGGACTCTTTTGTATTTTGAATTGGTTGGTTATTTTGTATACGCCACTGACCATGTAGGAATTCCCAAAAAAAGAAGTTTTATTTGCTCAATAGATCTCTGCATCAACAAATCGCCACTGGTCGGAGACCAAAGAGATTTTGAATGGAGAGGAATTCGGCAAAGAGAATTTTGAACGTACTGGCATTGGGCAAAAATGTAATGTTTTTCATTAATTCGAACTATATAAAAATATCTCAATTCCTTCTTGATTTTCATTTAACTCATACTAGTTGATGCACACGTGCGTTGCACCTAAACCATTTGATTATGAAATATTAGATTTTTGCAGACGTAGATCACTTCTCCAAAATTCATAATATTAATAAATATCGAATTGGTGAATGATTTAGATTCGACATGTGTTGTGCCCAATAAAATATTAAACATGAAAATTTTCATATATGATAATTATAATCAATTTAATGATATATAACTGAGAAAAAAAAAGAGTTGATGTCACTTGTAAATTCTTGCATGAGATCTCTCAAATCTAATAATCGCTGACCATCATTAAAATTTCTTTGGAACATAAAGGATGGACACTATTTAAAAAATTTAAAGTATAGTACAAATACATTTTAGAACCAAGTCACTACATAGGCTTTAAAAAAGCATAACATTCTTTTGTGAGTCAACATTTTGGCTTAAGGTAAATTCCTATGGAAGCAAAATACCAATAATTAAGTTCCAAAATAAATTATATGTATACTCATGTGCTCCTCAAATTACTTATCTACATTCAATATTAAGTTAGTCTGATGTGTTGTTAAAGAATTTTATCTGCCTCCATGTATCCACTTCATTTCTCAGTCAATTCTTCTTTATTTAGTGGTTTCTTGCTCGCCTATAATCAATCCACTATTAATGAATTAAAGAAAATACACATTTTTTTTTGCAAGATGTTATTGATCAAGTTTCAATGAATTCAAGGGAAACAAAAGATAATGAAATAGTATCCCAGAAAGTTAGCAGTGAAAATATTGGAAGGTGGGTAAATGGAACACAAAAAATATACCAAACCTCCTCCCTATTGAGTTTAAATAAGTAAAATCAAATAAGACAATTCTACCCTCAAGCTACCTTTTTCATATAAAAAAAAAATTCAAAAGTTAAAATTCAAAAAATCATTCAAAATTGACTTATTTTTGTTTATTATACAAACGGAAGTAGGTCAATATTTAATGCCAATCAACTATCCAGTTTGATTGAGAGAGTTATTTTCTATTTGTGAATTTTGCTTGTTCACTATTTATGTATAACAATGAGATGGGTTCTATCCAACTTTTATGGTCTAATTGTTATGAGGATAGAGTGTGAGAAAGAAAAAAAAAGGGAAAAGAAAAGATGAGGGATTGTTCCATGAGCATAAATGAATGGAAAGGAAGAGGGATTTCATATTTCATATTCATTCAATCTTTTTGATTCTATAATAAAGTTTGTAGTGAAATAAAAAGAATAAGATATCTGGTTCTATTTTATATAGAACCAAGGAAAACGAGGGAAATGCAACTTCCTCTCCCCCATAGAATAAGGAAAACTCCTTTTACTTACTGGGAAAAAAAAAAGGGAAAACCCTTTTCCTTGTTTACCTTTGTTGAAAGGACACATCTAACCAAATATGTAATAGATACGATGGTGAAATCAAACACAACCAAGTTTCAATCTCCCTCTTTTTCCACAAGTGCAATCAAATAAAGGAGAGAATACACCTTCATCTGGAATGCTTGATGTTCTTAATAAATAAATAAAACTCTTATTGCTCACTCTTAGTGTAAGTACCAACAATTATTGACTTGATTTAAGGCCTTTTGAATCATAACCATTGAAAAAATTAGCTCAGATTAATGTTCTACAATGGCTTTATATGTCAATTGCTCTATTAGCCAGGACAAAATTCTTGTAGTTAGATAAAAAAACTACTATTTTTTGTCTTTTATAATAAATACCCGAGGATGATGGAAGAATGAAATTTTCATAGAATTGATTAGAGGACTTTTGTATCATAGCATCAAAAACTTAAGCTTGGATTTATGTTATAGTATTGCTATGTGTCGCTCGTTTTACATTCAAAGTACGTTATTGTATTGATGCAATGATAGTGAAAAAAGAGGGATATTTTAAAAATTAAGATTGTAAAGTGAAAAGGCATTGTCCTTCCTTTTGCTTGAGACCACAATGGTTAGTATGATATTTAGTTTAGTGGACAATTCACTAATAGGAACCAAGAGAAAGAGATATAAAGTTTCCATAGAACCAAAAGCTTAAAAAAAAAAAATTGAACTGGTGGCTTTGTTCTAAGCTAAGGGATTGAGTCTTGCGGATCCACTTTATTAGTTCAACAATGACAACATGAAGTTCCTAAATAATCAAACTAACGTAGTTTGAATTCTTGCAGTCCATCAAGTCATAAATTTCATATATAGTCACCAACACTAAGTTTGTTCTCTCTCCATATTGTAAACTATAATAGATATTTCATTGATCCTTGATGCGCATATTAGGAAAAAAGGCTGAATGAAAAATTTGAATCTCAAGTGGAAATGAAGAATTCTAAAGCAAAATTATAAAAGCATGAAGGAAGCATGCTGACTAAGTAAATATCAGGCCTCATCTGCTCGAGAACAGTTGAGAATAGATAAAACTTGATTTTAGACTCACAATGCAAATCCAACACACAATATCAATGCTAAAAAGTTCCCCATTATTAATCAGCTAATATATATACAAATACCACAAAGATGCATCCACAACAAATACTGACAAAGAAGCCTATGCTGAACCAAAAGCACAATCAGCAGTAGGCATTTTGACAAGGAAGTTTAATCTGAGTACCAATCAGTAGTTCACCAGATAAATTCCATAACACACAAATCAAAATAATTTAGCATGGTTAATCTTGTAGTGGTTGACAGTTAAGCAAATCAATTGAACATATTATCAATTAAGGCTTTAACCTATATTTTTTCTTTAAAAAAACTGACATTTCACCTTTATCAACAGAATCTCTTCAATCACAAGAAGAAACAAATTCTAGTATAGGAAGCCCCGAACAAAAATGTAGAATTCATTTTAGAAAAGAAATAACTTTGTGCGAAGATTAGAAGTTTGGCATACCTGACAATTTCCAGTTCGAAACTCGAAGAGGTTTAGCTCCAATAAAAAATAAAAAATAAAACAATTGGAGGGGGTGGGGTGGACATTTATAGGCATTTTGCCTATCATCAGACATTTTCTGGACACTTCCATACCTCATAGTTTTTTTTTTCCTAAAATAATAAATATTGCAATTGAACACAACCAGAACATTATGGCTATAACAGATCTGTAACAGATATATAGTTCAAGCAGAGAGAGAATTTTTACCTATTGACACAGCCTGTTGATACCGCTACACTAAGAGAACCTGTTAACAATAAGACCAGTGTGAGTGAGACTTTAAAGTTTAATTTCAGGTAACATAAATATACTACCTTGATACAAATTTCTTGATTTTTATTTAGAATTCCGAAACTTTTGTTCCATTGATCTGTATGAAGCAAATACCTTGCTGCCAAAAACTGTAAAGCAATACAAAAGCAAGCAAATGCATCAATAAGACAATCACTAATACTCTTTTTAAAATTTAAAAAAAATGGATTAGTACCCCAATCACCATTATTGAGTTGTCCAAAAAAAAAATCAAGCAAAAAAAAACAAAATTATAAAACTATATTTAATTAAATATATTAATAAAGTATGCATGTATTTATATATAAATAGAGAAGAGAGGTTTTTATCTATAACATATGGTACATACCACACTTCTATGGCTGGATTACAACAATAGTTCAATTCCAAGAAACCACATCTACTACCCTTCTATGCAACATTTCATCAAACATGAGCCGTGCATCATCCAAAGCACCACACTTCACATAAATTGAAATAGTGGCATTACAAACAAACACATTACCACCAATCACATTAATACAAAGTAAACCCATAGACAGTAGAGGAGCAAGTGGGCGCTAGGTGGTTCGGAGAAAGAATGATGGGGGTGAAGGCGGTCCAGTGGTGGCTATAGGGTGGTGTTGGATGTGGGTGGCATGCGGGTTGGTGGCATGAAGAGACCGAGGGAGAGAGAAAGAGTTAAGTGAGAGATATATTATGGGATTGAGAGAGATAGTAGCCTGTTGGAGAGTTTGTAATTATAATGAAAAAACCTAATGATACAAGGAGATATAACCGAAACCTGTGGAAATGTTTGTGTGATTAAACCAATTTAGGGAGAAGTTATAAATCTGTAGAGTCACTAAGAGAGCATTAAAGTTAAAGTGAGGGAGATGGGAAAGGTGGAAAGAGGGAAACTGGCCGGCTGTGTTTTTACTGACTATTAAATGGGGGGAAGGGGAGAGAGAGACTGACCGTTCTTTGCTGGCCAGTGAATGCTCATGAGAGAGAGAGGGAATTGCTGTTAATAGCAGAAAAGGAACCAGTAGAGGCGATCAATAAGGTTTAATATCCAATTAATTTTGAAGGATAAAAATATCATCTTTTGTTGGAGGGTAAAGATGACAAAACAAATGTTTTTCAATATATTGATATTTTAAAATAATATAAATAAATGGGTTAAAATTAATTTTTTAAATCGAATCAGAATAAAATTCGAATAAAATTTTTGATGTTTTTTTTACTCACTTATCAAATGTGGGATAAATATATCTCATATATTTTTTTATCCTATTTATTATAATTATTTACCTTTATACTGCGATCCAAACATACCATAAGGTTACAAGCTAGTGTAAATCTCTATGTATTCAAAACTATAAATGTTTATTATTTTGGAAACGACAAACAATTAGGAAATGGCATTTTTGTGTTATGTACAAAAAAACAGGGGCCGTTGTACAAAATATTTCGAACTAAAGCCGGCACCTTCCTCCAATTCTCCAACAACCCCTTTCCCAATTCCAAGGATCCCACATTTTTGCATTCTATTCGCATTTTCCTCTTGCGATCTCTGAGACAACGAGTCACATATAAAATACGTACAGCGAAGTAGAGAGAGAGAGATGTGGCGGTGCGTGTCTCGTCGCCTTGGCATTCCTTCAACGAGATCCATCTCCGGCGAATCCCTCGGACCTCACTTTGATAGACTCTTCTCCACACAATCCGTGCGACCTCTCGCTTCGATTTTCGATTCTCATCTGCTCGAATCTCAGGATTTTAATGCTTATATCGATTTATATCTTTCATAGATTCCATTTTTTTCCTTAAATTTATGCTCTTAATGATCACAAGGCTCGTTAAGTTCGTAACTGATGTTTACCTTCGTTTATTGCTTACTGAGTTACACCTCTTAATATACGGTACTTGATAATTTGAAAATTTATATACAATCTATCTATACATAAAAAATATGTTGCAATATATACTTTTGCGTTTACGTTACGTAGCTTAGTTCTCCGTAAAATGTATGAGAGAATCGTAGTTAGTAATCTTTTGTTTCTGTGATTTGTGTCTAGCAGAATGTGGGAGTTTCATCATATACCGTCGTTGATCATACCTACGATGCAGTTGTGGTAGGAGCAGGCGGTGCTGGGCTCAGAGCGGCGATAGGGTTGTCTGACCATGGTTTCAACACCGCTTGCATTACAAAGCTCTTCCCTACTCGTTCACATACCGTTGCGGCTCAGGTATGGTAACTTTAACTCTCTGAATATATGTGGGCCAGTTTATCTAATTGTTCATGCATGTTATATAAAATCCACTTTTGTTGATGCACATTGTATGTATCCTAATTTGTGGCACAATTTACTAGACTATAGGTTTTTGTACCTTTCAATTATTTGTTGTGTTCTCTGAATTTTGCTGTAAGTGTGAATGTTGATCTCTGCTGTCTATATGCAAGCTGATGTGTGGTTGAGCTTACACAACTAGAAATTTTACATTGTATGTTGGAGGGATGCTAGTGTGGGAAATTTGAATTCATATCAATCCTTTATGGTGTAGCACTGTCAGGTTGCATTTTGATGTATATATATTTGTTATGGTGTTATGTTTTTTATTTTTTATTTTATTTGATGAATTGGATTTCATCTGAATTGATTGGATGTGCTAATTCGAATATGGGCACATATAAGATTGGGATGAATTAGGATACCAAAAGGGTTATAGCAATGCCAGATGGGTTGAGTCCAACATTAGATGGGGTCACTATCAATCCAATAGCTAAGGCATTAGGTTCCTAAGTTAGGTTCAAGTAGTATTATGGAAAGGGATATTAGAATTAATAACGATGCTTGGGCAACTAAAATTTTTCCTTCCATAAATTTCAATGATATCTGATCACGTCCTTGTATCAATTCCACTCGTAGATTAATTTTATGACTGTAATTCATTAGATTGTGGTCTTAGTTGATTTTTTAATATAGATTCTCTCAAATACTGAAGGCAAACCCATTTATTTTAATTACCTCAATTGTATGGCAACCTTAAATTCTTCCTCTATTAACGATTTGTATGAACTCAATGATTACTTTTTAGGAAGTTTGCTCGCATTAACTAATTGCTTCATATTTATAATGGGGGATCAAACTTCTCTACTGGCCTCTCATTATAGAAATTTACAGTTTATGCACTGATTGTGGGAATGTTTGTTCATCTTTTCCTTGTGGATAAAAGATTGTTCTATTGCTGACATAAACCAATCCCAGAAACTCAATGGTATGACATTTGTCATTTTTGACTCTTAAGCATATTTGTTTTCAATTTTTTTGAGACTTTGAAGACAATCCTTTGTCTGTTTGTTAACTTGTGCACAAAATAGTGCTTTTATATTCAACTCATCCCAACTAAATGCCTTATCCTAACATTTTGGGGTTGACTACATTTTAGTGCCTTTCTCTTGGTGACAAAATTTGTATTTTGTACATTGTTGTGTTTACGAAGTCATTTAGCAGGTTTTCACCTTCACTTTGGATGTTATGATATCTACTTTCTTTGCTTGTAGCAAACATATTGGATCTAGACTATGAAGCATAGACACTCTCAAGAAGGTGATGTATCCGTGTCGGACATCGATACTCTCGGACACGTGTCCGATATTCTTCTATCCGTGTCCATAATTAAGTGGATTTTTTTTTTTAATCTCGGACGATTGTTCGACACTTCTTTAGTGACGTGGTTGACACTTCTTTAGATTGTGTCTACTACTAAATAATAAACATGTGTTTAACAAAACTTAAAATTTGATTAATATTTTTTGAATGAATAATATTTTTTCACTACAGTTGTGATAAATTATATAATTATATATATAACACAGTTATCGGTAGCGTGTTCTCAACGTGTCTGTTTCCCGTGTCCATGTCTGTGCTTCTTAGGATCTAGATGCACTGGCTTAATGCATCCATGCATCCATGCTTAGTTTGTTTGACCAGAAGTTGGACATGTCTAATCTTGAATGGTAAAACTCATTGGCAGGGTGGAATAAATGCTGCTTTAGGTAATATGACTGAGGATGACTGGAGGTGGCACATGTATGACACAGTGAAGGGAAGTGACTGGCTAGGTACAATGTTTCTTAAAATTAGACTCCGTTTTTTACTTCTAGTTGATGTGCATATTAGCCTGTCTTTTACATGCATGAAAATCGAGCAGCGTTAATTTGTTATGGTTTTCTTTTCCCTGATTTCCTCAAATCTTGTTTAAGAAAACTAGCTGTTGCTAAAGCACCAAAACCTTGAAATGTTCAAAATTTTCGATATGATATTTGATCCATCTTAACAAGAGTGCTATTGTTTTTGCGTAGGTGACCAGGATGCTATTCAATATATGTGTCGGGAGGCACCAAAGGCAGTTATAGAGCTTGAGAATTATGGGTTACCATTTTCCCGGACTGAAGATGGAAAAATATACCAACGGGCATTTGGTGGCCAAAGCCTGAACTTTGGGAAAGGTATGAAGATGCTAGTTTGTGATTGGAATTTTACCTGATTGCTGTGAAAATTTAACTAACTTTGGCTTCTGTAATGGTGTTATTTGCATAGGTGGACAAGCATATCGTTGTGCATGTGCTGCTGATCGAACTGGCCATGCTCTATTGCATACTCTCTATGGCCAGGCCATGAAACATAATACACAATTTTTTGTGGAATATTTTGCTTTGGATTTACTTATGGCTAACGATGGTATGTAAACTGTATCTTTTTCCCCTCGTAAAATCTCTTAGGTTTATAATTTATTCTATTTCATTTCTCTGTGGTTCAATGATTGAAACAATGTGTCACACTCGTACAACTAGAAACATAGGAGAATACAAATTTATACTAATTTTTTTTGTGCACCTGAAGAAAATATTACTGTCACAGAATGCTTCTCGGCTTGGAAATTCGAATATTCTAAACTGGTGGTTATTCAGTTACCATCGTTATCCATAAAACTCAGTATTGGGGCTTTGGACTGTCAATTATTTTGGACATCTATCCATATGTTTTACTTACTGTAAATAATTTTGACTGCAAAAATTCAAAATTATTACTTTCACCACATATAGTATAATATACTCTTGAATTCCTATAACAAATGTTCGTAGCTCGTTCCATGGTTCCGTGAGTGCCCCTTTTTTCTTGGGTGTTTTATATGATTTTCAGTGCTTGTAGAATCAAAGTATGCATATACATACATAAATGCGTATACGTATATATCTATGCACATATACATTATATATATGTATTTGGGTGTATAGATACACACATGTGCATATGCTCCTGTATTTTCTCCTACATATTTGTATTTCCACTTGCCTTTATGGACCCGCTTCTTAGCATTGAACGAATGTTTGAGGGTAAATTCTTTGATCATTGATTTGTATATCAGGTAGCTGCCAAGGTGTAATTGCACTTAATATGGAGGATGGCACCCTGCATCGGTTCCGTGCTGCTTCAACAATTCTGGCCACTGGGGTATCACGTCTTTATTTTTGGACTTCAGTTAAGGGTCTTATGATATATTTAGCTCGTGTTTGTAATGCCTGTGTCAGGGCTATGGTAGAACATATTTTTCTGCAACCTCTGCTCATACTTGCACTGGAGATGGCAATGCAATGGTTGCACGTGCTGGACTTCCTCTTGAGGTTTGTTTGGTGTTTTGTTATTGAATTTAGTTTCCAATGAATTTGTCGTGTATTCCAGTTTTTATATTCTCTTCTTGTTGTAGGATCTTGAGTTCGTGCAGTTTCACCCAACTGGTATATATGGTGCTGGTTGCCTCATTACTGAAGGTTGGTGCTGTCTACATTGAAGTTTTGAACAGTGGAATCTATGTTTGATTGGTTCTTCGTTATGCTTGGCTTAGTTGGTTCTCTAAATGATGCAGTTTTATTTGGAGTACTAAGTTTATGATGGTTCTTTCCCTCCCTAATTATTCTTTTCTAGTATGCAGGATCACGTGGTGAAGGTGGTATTCTTAGGAACAGTGAAGGTGAACGATTTATGGAGCGCTATGCCCCAACAGCCAAGGATCTTGCTTCAAGAGATGTTGTTTCAAGATCTATGACTATGGAAATCCGAGAAGGTCGTGGTGTAGGTAAGATCTCATTACTAGTATCAGATTCCACAAAATGTAGTTGGAGTATTGCTTTGAGTATGTCAACCCAGGGGTGTCTCTTGAACTCCACTTGTAATCTTTATCACTGCCATCACAACGCTGATGGCATCACTGCCACCCAAACCTGTTACCCTCTTGTCCATCTTCACCACCATCTGTATTACGTCACAGCCGGTGACCATCGTCTAGCCAACAATGCTGAGACTATTTTTTGTGTTATAAAAAGAACAGTTTAATAACAGAAAATGAAAGGACTCTGACAACTAGAATTGTTGGGTAATTGTAAGATATGTATCTCCACTCTTTTGGTTCAATTAGTTATCAATTTTGTTGCTTTTGTTCTGGATTTTAGAATCGGAAATTTTAATTCATATTGCTTATTTTTTGGAATTTAATTTTATTGTGTCTTTGCCCCAATCTGTTTAGAGAAGAGAAATTAAAATTAAAACAGAGAGAGAGAGAGAGAGAGAGAGTTACCAGAGGTCCAGATCTAGTAACCTTGGTAATTTTAAGATTTAGTGATGGTCCCAGGGTATTGATATGGTAATTTGGGATTCTGATGCTGATAAGCTAAAGAAAGTTAAGGAAAGGTGTTGAGACGAAAATGGTGGATAGAGTGTAGAGGTGAAGATGGTTGGTTCTATGGTGACTAATAGAGATTGGGATTGGTGATGGTGGTGCAAAGTGGAAGTGAGGAACAAAATAAGTATCTTATATCTTTGTTGAATGGTTAAAGATTCATTGTCACAGCACAAATTCTTCGGGTCCATTGGCTAACCGCCTGACTAAGTTTAAAGTTCAAGATTGCATACCCCATTTCAGCCTTGTAGTTTAGGGTTCAATGTGCAGTTTACCATAAATCTTAACATATTTCTTTGTGGAAAAAATTTCCCATCTTGTTTGTTTTAAACAATCTCTCTTTCATTACTTCCTTATTATCTCTTGTATGCTCCAAAGCTTGCGTTGGTTGAGGAGGGCAACAGGACACCTCTTGGGTGGACTTTGTGTTCAGTTATCTTATTCTTACACCTTTAACGCTCTTACCTGTCTATTTTCAATAGGATCCCTCAAGGACCACATTTATCTACACTTGAATCACTTACCCCCGGAGGTCCTCAAGGAAAGGCTACCCGGTATCTCCGAAACTGCTGCCATTTTTGCTGGTGTTGATGTTACAAAGGAACCAATCCCTGTTTTGCCCACTGTTCATTATAATATGGGTGGAATTCCCACAAATTACCTTGGAGAGGTAAAAATTAAGTTAAATAACTAAAGTTCTCATCGTGACTTTTTTGATTTTAACTTCTAGATAGTGTTGAAACTTGAAAGCCTTGTATTTCTTACCAGTGAAAATTTTTTGCTCCCCAGGTTGTTACCATTAAAGGTGGTGATCCTGATGCAGTGGTTCCTGGACTAATGGCTGCTGGGGAAGCAGCCTGTGCATCTGTGCATGGTGCCAATCGACTTGGGGCAAATTCGCTTCTTGACATTGTTGTGTTTGGTCGAGCTTGTGCAAACAGGGTTGCAGAAATCAATAGACCGGGTAGTTATTCTTCATTACCTCTATGGTTATATGCTTTGTAAACCATGTAGTGCATCAAATGAAGACTGTACTTTGCTGTTGTGCAGGGGAGAAACAAAAACCTTTGGAAAAGGATGCAGGCCAGAAGACTATTGCTTGGTTGGACAAGCTAAGGAATTCCAATGGTTCTCTTCCAACATCAAAAATAAGGTTGAATATGCAACGAATAATGCAAACTAATGCTGCTGTGTTCCGCACGCAGGAGACATTAGAGGAAGGTAAACTATGACACCACGCCCTCCCCCTCCCCCTCCCCCAATGGAAAAAATATTGGATGTAACGGTGACATGACGTCATTATTGCCACGTGATGTCACCATCCACTAAGAACATAACAACTCAACAAGTGGATCCCACATATTTTAATAACCATCCCTCCATGTCATTTGATAACCACCAAGTGGGGTTTATTATAGGGATGGTGACACCACATGACAATGGTGACGTGGTGTCACCATTACACCCAATAATGTATGTTTGGATAAAGTGAATATTCAGACTTTTCTTCCTCTTCAGCTACATTGGTAATCAGTTGTCTGTATACCAGTTTTGAGAACCAGTTCTTTTTAGGAAAATAAGAGACAGGCTTGAAACAAGTAATACTACCGATTTAATTTATTTATTTAAAATGACCATAATTTATTTGCCCTGCTTATCTGTGTAACTTTGTTGCTGTTGCAGGTTGTCAGTTGATTGACAAAGCATGGGAGAGCTTTCATGATGTTAAGTTGAAGGACCGAAGTCTGATATGGTAAATTTTGTGTAAAAGGATTGCATATGTTGACATTTATTGTACAAGAGTTATCCATATTTTGCTGGCTTTGTGTGAAACGTGAGCTCTTTTTTTGCCAGGAACTCAGATTTGATAGAAACTATGGAGTTAGAAAATCTTTTGATCAATGCTTGTATCACCATGCATTCTGCTGAAGCTAGGAAAGAGAGCAGAGGAGCACATGCTCGGGAAGATTTTCCGGTTAGTCAGGTTCATAAGTAGTTTATAATTTTTATTTGTCTCCCCTCTTTCTTTAATAATGAAACGAAATACTTTGGCTGTGCAGAAAAGAGACGATGAGAATTGGATGAAGCATACATTGGGGTAACTAGTTTTTTCTTCATTTTCTTACCAATGCCCTTTAACTATACCCCCCTCCGCCCCAAATGCCAACTGTTACTGCACCACTCAAGCTCTTAATTCTGATACGAATCATATTGGGCAATAACAATCTTTCATCTAACTTGATGAGTTGTTACTTTTTTGAGCATGAATAAAGGAGTTTTGTGGCCAATATATAACATGAAATCAAAAAGGAAAGGTAAAAAGTCCAAGTTGAAATGTTAGGTGTCTGTCTTACTTATTAGCAATATTTGCAACAATGTTGGGAGAGTGACGTCGTATAGACCTAACCTGTAGTAATATTTGCAAATAATGGTTGCCTTCATATTTGAAGCCACAAGGATAAAATAATGGTCGCATTCATATTTGGCCCAAGGATGAAGGAATTTTGTGGCCAACTTATAATTTGAAACTGACAAGCAATAAAGGAAGTAAAACACAAGGTGAAGTTTTAGGTGCCTAGCTTACTTATTAAGGTCACGGGGGGTCATTGCACGTTTTGGTCCCCATTATCCATGATACTGAGAGAAGTGGGTTGGTGCAGACTTAACCTTTGGTTTTATTTTCAAGAAGTGGTTGCCTTCATATTTGAACTCACAATCTCATGGTTATTAGCACAAAAAGTTTACCATTGTACTAGACAATTAGTCCCTTACCAGATAAAACAACAAAGAGGGAGAGATACACTTGGTGCCGGGCTAGTGTAGCCACAGGGAAATGGTCCCATTCTTTGTAGAATGTGTCCAGGAAAAGTTGCCTTCTGCAGTTGGTATATAGTATATACTCATGGTATTTTAAGAATTTGGGTTACTAGTTATGATGAAAACACTCTACCCAAGAAATGAAGGTTTGACAATGCCGTTAAGATTGAAGAGAGTGGTGTTATTTATTTGTTTATTTTTTGCTAAACAAAGTGATGTCACTAGGAAAGTTATATGTTGGTGATCCACATGAGTATCATGGCGCTATGATGAGCGAATTCCCAGAAAGTGACCTAGAATTAAAAAACGATGCTTTTTTTATATCGAATTGGTGTAAAATGTCGGTAGCTAGGTATGCTGTGCTAGCTCCAGGTATGATAATCTTTTTTGTCTTAAAATCTCGAATTATTCTCAATGGTATTTGTTGGTCTCGATTTTGTTTAAGAGTCGTAGTGTCATACATAGTTTAGAGAAGTAAATTAGAAGTTTCCAACAATTCATCATAATAAAAAAATCCCAAAAATGTGAACAATGTAATGTTCTCTATGATCTGCAGATATTGGGAGAATGAGGAAGTCCGGCTAGACTACAGGCCAGTTCACCTGCATACATTAGATGATGAGGTGGAGTCATTCCCGCCAAAGGCTCGTGTGTATTGACATATTTGCTCATCAGAAAGTGGTTGGTGACTTGAGAAGGTGATTTGTTTAATATTAAGTTTGCCATAAATTATCTGAATAGCACAAGTTTTGATAATAATTGTTGTATTCATCACTGCTAATCTGATGCAACCTCAATTGTTCATAAATTTTGAAGCAAATATCTTCATTAGTAAGGTACTATGTATACCAGCAACAACCCCGGCACTCTGCAATATTAAAAATCAAACATTGATTATGCAATATTTATATTTTAAGGAGTAATTTATTATTGTTATTTATTTAATTATGTAATTTGAAATTAAAGTGGACAGAGCAAAAATAAGATAAAAGTAATTGTTCATTAATGAATTATTTGGCGGTGGATAATGTGTGTTGGTTGAATTGTCAGCATTAGGGGCCGTGAAGAGGAAAAATGTTTGAGCAAGAAAAAAAATTTGGAATGAATTTTATATCATTTAATTAAAATAAATGAAAATTGAATTAACCATGACCATTATTATATTTGTATAATTTGAAAATTCAACTCTTTAGCTATAATATTAGATATTAACAATAATCACATCTCTGAATATACTCTATAATATTAGATATTAACAATAATCACATTTTTGGTCCAATGGTACTCTTTGCCTTGTGAAGGTTTTGCCTTCTTGAAGTCAAGGGTTCAAGTCCTCTTTTCTCCTGTCCTCCCAAAATAAAAAATTAAAAAAAAATTAAAAATTTTAAAAAATTAAAAAACAAATTTTTTAGTTATGCAAATTAAAATTAAAAATTAAAGTTAACAAAGAAAAAAATAAGAAGGAGATATAGGGGAGAGAGAAGAGAGAGCTAGGTATGGGTGAGTGGAGTTATCTATCAATGGAGAATGTATTAGACTATTAGTTGAATTGTCTTACATTGATAGCCGTGCAAAGAAGATGATGTTGAGCAGAAAAAAAAATTCAAGATGAATTTTTTAAAATTAGAATTAGAATTTAATTTACTAACTATATGTATATGTGTTTATAATGTTTATAAATGTCAGCATTTGTAAAAAAAAATTAATTTTCTAATTGATTCCTAATTATTATTATAAAGTCAATTCTACTCACATATTACTTTTATCTAATTTTTATTTTTGAGTGTTGAACTCTTTTATTAGTAGTATTTGATTTCTAAATTCTTGTGTAGTCATTTATTAGTAGTTTTCTTACATACAATTTCTATTTCTATATCTATTTATATAAACAAATAAAGTCCAATTTATATTATATTATTATATACATGTTGGACGAATAAAGTCTAATCTACATTATATTATTATATACATGTTGGCCGATCGAATTTTATTGTCATATTTGATTTTTTTGTATGTAACAATATCATAACATTATAATACAAACAAGATTTTATAATTTAATCAATTTCTTTGACAAAAAATAGAATAATATATTTAGATGTGCAAATACTTAAGCATAATAATCTTACAATAACTCTTTTATTAGTAGCATTTGAGTTCTAAATGTTTATGGACTCATTTATTAGTAATAGACATATATACAGTTTCTATATCTATATCTATTTATATAAAAAATTAAAATCCAATCAATATTCTATCTGTTATTATATATATGTTGACAAATTGAATTTTATTGTCAAATATATATCGCATTTGTTTTTTTTTTTTTATACAACAATATCATAATATTATAATATAAACAATAGTTTATAAATACTAAAGAATGACAATCTTACGATGAAATTCCACAATAAACAAAAAATAAAATGTTTAAAGAAGTTGGAAAGATACCTAAAAAAATGCCAAATGAGGTACTCAAAGAGGGACGTAATAATTAATATATAATTTAGGGTTAATTGTACTAAAAGTCTCCAAAGTATGGAGTTTGTCTCATTTTGGTCCCAAATTTTTTAATTTTATCATTTTGGTCCCTGAAGTATTGAATATGTTTTTATATAGTCCCTCATGTAAACAGTGTCCAGATTGTTAACGATTTTTTATCATAAAGTTGTCACATGATACTTAAGTATGGATAAAAAAATAATTTGGATAACTCTTGACCAAATTTTTACTCAAATTTTGGTTAAATACCTACCTAAATTACACAGTTTTGATTACGAGCTATCTAAATTTTGGTCAAAAATTATCCATATTACACATTTTTTTATTAAAAGCTATCCAAATTTTGTTTAAGAGCTATCAAAATTATTTTTTATCCATATTTAACTATTACATGATAAGTTTATGATAAAAAATCGTTATCAATTTAGACATTGTTTGCTTAAAGGAACTTATAGAAACATATTCAATACTTTAGGGACCAAAATGAGACAACCCTCAAATTTTGGGGACCTCTAATGCAATTAATTCTATAATTAATTATTCTACATATAATTTATTATTCAAATAAATTACAAATATAAGTTAAATTTTTTATAAATATTATTATTTAAATATATTCAAATACAAAATACGTCATGCATTACTAGCATATATAAATTATATATTGGCCATCGTAATTATCTGGCTAACGGGCAAGGCATAGTTTCTTCGTATCTAAAAATTATTAAAAAAAAAATTGAAACTAATGAGTACCTTATTAGATTTGTCAAAGGTACAGTGTCTCCCACTCCCAACGTCTTCATGTCCAAAAGTCCAACCATGAACAGTCAAAGGCCACTAGTTTGTCGATATGTTGTTCCTTCTACGTACTACAAGAACCCATTAGTTCCACTAAAGTAGTCTTTGGATCAATAAAACACTCTATTACGAGTTTGACTAACAGCCGCCCTTGTCATTGTTCATTTGGAAATGTTTATCAATACTCCAAATACGCTTGTCCAATTACCTACGGTATTAACTTCTTGCAATCTCTCAAGTGCCTCTTTCACCTCGTCTTTGTTTTTTATTTTAAATTATGAAAATTCCCAAGCAATTGCATTGAAAAGGTCATTCGAAAGACAAAACATGAAAACTTATTATTATGTCATTTTGCATATTAAAATTTTAATTTAATTATGTTGACATTTAAAAACACTCATTTCCGCGTGGTTTAAGAAATTATATTCAACCCCTTGAGGTTTATGGTTAGAGTCTAAAAACGCATACTCTAATAGCTTAAGTTTTTAGATGGGATAGTGTTTAACGTTGAATCACAGCAGGAGGTCATATATTCAAATCTCGTCACAGCCCTAAATATTAAATGATTTTCTCGTTCTAAGTTTAAAATATAACAAGTACGTAAAAGAACATGTTGAAGTATAAATATTTTAAATTATATTCTCTCTAATAGCATAAACTTTTAAATGTGATTGTGTTCAACACAATCTAATTCATGTAGCTATAACTTTTTTTTTTTGGGATTGGGAGGGGGAAGGAGGACTTGAACCCTTGATGTCTCTTTCCATGTAACCGGCTCTGAAAGAAAATAGTAAAAATTGAATGATCATTTTCAGCCACATTTCATGCCTCAACAATCTTAGTCTAACAACCTTAAGGATATCTTAAGTGATAATAGAGGCGAACTGTAAATTCAGATGTCCTGAATTTGAATTTTGACAATTCTTTAGGGTCAGGTTACGAGAGATTTATTTCTCATACATATCCTAATCTTGACATAAATGACCTACTTTTGATAAGACCGGATAGAAAAATAATCAAAATGCATGAAAATTAGTGCGTGCATTCTTGACCGTTAAACCATCTATTCAACTCTGGGGATTTAATAAATAGTTTGTTTACTTTTTGTCTTATTAGCTTACAGTTTTCACTGTTTATTATTATGATCGATATCTGAGGTGGTTTATGACTTGTGATAAGCTGCGCCTAATAATACAGACTTGTAGTGTTTTGTCATTCTATCCATCTTCGGCCACTATTGATTATACAACCCCCCTACACCCTAACTAGTGGCGAGGCTCCCACCAAACCTTTTGATTTGTTTGTGTGTACAATTTCAAATGAGTAATGATATCTCTCTCTTATACAAAAATGCATGGGAAGTAGTTAAAATCTTGGATGTCTTAACTCAAATGACTGGTAAAACCTTTTGTTACCGCCATATGAACCGATCATTCTCATTGGTTTTTTGCGAACTGTGTGATCTTTGCCTATGACTAGGACTATCAATTGATCGATCGAATTTTTATGCGGATTTAAAAGGATGTTAAACCCAATAGGTCAGGTATAGGTATAGATTGACATTCAAATCTATTATATTATTTTTTACTAATTTAGGTTTGGATATACTAATATCTAATTTTATTGTGATTTGATTTGAATTATATTTATACGTATATATGCATGTATGTGTATGTGATAAAATTAAATGATTATTTGATGAACTTGAAGTTAAATTTGGATATCGATTTATTAAAATTCAATTTAATTGAGATATTTGGATCCTATTTTTTATTTGTCATGCATACAGATATAGAAAAGTGTGAATATAAAATTTGTTAGATATTTGGATAGAATGAAATGAATTCAAAGACTCAAATTGATTTGTTGATATGTCTATTTATAGCTAGACTGAGAACAGCAAAAGAGCGGTCCGTTGCGTGACCTCTGGCTACTGTATGGTTCGGGAAAAATCAAATGTAAACAGTTTTATATTTGCATACAAAGAAGATGTTTTTACGATTTGAACACTTAATAACTAGACCATGATGGAATAATTCTATCCCCTGCGCCAAACAAAACAGATATTCAACAATGATGTTGGTGTATGTAAGAAGCTTGGATTGGTGGGGAGCTGGAAAAAAGTAGTGTGAAAGACAATTGGTGGGAGTCTTCTTGATAAGGTTCATTTGTAGGGCCAAAAAGGAAGATTAGCCTTCAATGGAGCCCCTTGATTTCTTTCAATTCTGTCAACTGATTGCAGATTACGACGTTAATTCCCATTTTTCGTCTTCTTATCTTGTGTGCTTTTTTGTGTTCTAAAATAAAATATAAGCTTCCATAGTTATGACATCTTTGTTTTTTTTGAGATGATAAAATTCCATAGTTTTAACCTTTCATTCTTTCTTTTTTTTTTTTTCAACGGTTAGGAGTGTTCGAGCTAACTTACATGTATCTCGATTAATCTCCTCTCCGGTCTGGTCAAAGACAAACTATCCATGTCGGGATTAGGATATTCATGAGGGATAAATTCTTCATGATTCGGCCTTAAGAGATTGTCAAGTTTTTAAACTCAGAACGTCTGAGTTTATAATCTTTCATTCAAAGTGAATTGAGCTAGAAATCTCCTAGCTATCAA